TTGTATTTTATGAGAAATGTAAGAAAATTGATCTGAATCTGAATCGGTTAATATTGTATTTACTATTTCTTTTTTACAGTGCATTAAAAATAGAAGTTTGTAAAAAGAATTTATAAATCAATGATGAATCCATCAATAAATAAAAAATGATATAAAAAAAAACATTTAAAAATGGATTTATAAAAACTCATTAAATAAACCATTTATGAATATGTTTATTAATTCATGAACAAATGATAGAATTTCAAAATTATTTGAAAAGGCATTTTAAAAACTGCTCAAATGTCAGAAAGTGCTGGTTTTCTTTGATATAACTGATCTGAGTCTTATACCCAAATGTAATTTGGGTATATGAAATATATGTACATATAAAATTAAAACTACATGTAAAACTTACATATAAAGCCTATTAGAAACTGCCACAATTTCATATATTGACATATTTAGACCATGTTTATGTATATATGCTTATATTGTAGACATGTTACATGAGTATATATCCTTATATCAGTGTATTATAAACAGTAGAGTCTGAACGTCTGAGACACATTTCCAGAATGTGAAGTGAGACATGTTTAAAGTTAATGAGAAATGAATCAGAAAAACATATATAAGCATATATATGTGTTGTTTTAATAAACCTACATATATAAATTATATATATGTTATACCATATAAAATTAATCATATAGATCTTTTTTAATATATGTACATATTAATTTTTAATTATGGGTACTTCAAATATGTTATAAACTTACATCTTCATATATGTATATATGTGATAATAATATATCCCCTTATGGGTGACATACAGTACATGGCAATATCACTCTTAACATCGGGACATATGTGTCATATATTACAAGCTGATGAAGATGTTTTCTGAATTTGTTTGTGTTGTTACAGCATGTTGAGCTCTCAGGGCCACCGTACTTTTACCCATGTGAACCATATTGTGAATTTAATCTCAGAGTTCTTTGTGTGACCTTACTGTCATTAACAAACACATGTTTGCATACTACTATCAGACAGAGGAAAGCTTGTTTTGATCAGGAATGTTGGAGCACTGACTTCCCATGATGCCAAGTGCACTGTTTTAATGAGAACGTGTTTTTGGACATTTCCATTTTTTTTTCTGAACTGTGTAACACATCCTGACTGTTTTATTTCACTCCTTTCCTGTGAAGTTCTCCACAAAGCCTGTTCCCTGAAAATCAGGAACAAATCACCGTTATGCAAATAACAACACTTAAACCAGTTATTACAACTGGAAATTCCCCTTAACTCATGCAAATCCCTCCCTGGATATTCCCTGAGCTCCAGCTGGCTGTCCCAGGAAATCAGTGGCTGTTTGCTCCTATTTGAATAACTCACACTATGATTAAACAGCAGTGTGTGTGAGGAGGACACTGGATCTGAGGAACAATACTGGTAATTATTTAACCTGCATTCATGCAGGAAGGTTCACTGACCTCATGTGTTTGTCTTACAATACATGGGTTTATCACTTTAACAGCAGCTGCAGCCCAGTGTAAAACATAAAAATCCCATGAAAAGACCAAAATGAACAAGATCCTATGGTCAGTATCAACATTGTGCAACTTGCCTGGTATTTCCTTTGTGTTAATAAGAAACATAATCCACTGGCCTGAAGTAAAGGGACATCATGAAACCCTCTCAAGTGGACCTCCCATTACCTGAAGATTGGGGTCATGCAATGTGGCCACAACAAAAGTAGATGGTGTAATGTCAGACACAGAAAACTATTCATGACCTTGGCCATGACATCTGAAGAACCTCAAAAAGCTAAATCTCCTCAGGAAGCCCGACCTCTTGAGGGACACTATAAACTCCCTCAAGCACCTCAACAACTGCTCAGTCCCCCTTGGATTGGAACTTCAAAAAGTACATTTAAACACAGTTACGACCCCCAGAAACTCCTTTGACCCCAGGCTTCTCCCAAAGGTTATTTGAAAATGCCTCAAGAACTCCCAGAACCTCCTTGCCCCCTGTCTTCTGATAAAGGAAGGAAAAGAACCTCTTTAAGGAGGCTAAAACCAATAATAGACATTCATAAAACATCTGAAGGACCTCCCAAACCTCCTCAGGTAGCCCAACCTCAAAAGGAGCATCTACTCAGGGACTTCCACAACCTCCTCAGTCTCCCTTGGAGCCTCCAAAACTACATTTAAAATGGTTAAGAACCCCCCAGAGACTGATTTAAAAGCCTCTCAAAAACTTCCAGGACCTCTTTAGAAAGTCCAACCCTTCAAGGACCTCCTGCACCTCCTCAGTCATAAAGCTCATTTCAAAAGCTAATTTCCTGAGGACGTCCTCAGGGACTGTTGAGACCCCCCTGTATAAATACAGCAATGAGCTTTTTCCCTAATTGCATTGTGCCTGAACACAGATGTATCTAAGGCAGCTTGTGTTAACTCCCCAGCACTTCCTGGTTTCTGTCTGACATGTGATTGAACTAAACAATCAGCGACATACTGAGATCAGTGTGAGCTACAAACACAAAGCTGCACTGAGCTGATTACTGGGACAGTTTTAGTCTCTTTGCCTTTTAGTTTCATTCGCTGGTAATGAAAATAAAATGGCAGCATTAACCCTGACAGACAGTCTGAGGATCACACTGTTAAATGTAAGTATTGTGCTTCAGCTCAATTCAACAGCTAACGGTTCAACTGTTAAAACCAAGGTTTTGTGAAAAAAAAACATGTCAAGGTTGCTAGGCAACAGCAGCCGCGCTTTGGACACAACGATAAGGGCGGGAACAGCTGGTGACAAAGTGAAAATGGTCCGTAGACCGGACCGCCTCATTGTAGTTCGGCCTACACCGTGTCCTGATCACAGGATGAATCCGGACTTTATACCGCGTCACTGCACTTTTCCCTTTCCTCCTGTCATCATGACTACGACCACTAGATGTCGCCTAGCAACAAAACTCAACTATGTGTCATAGTAACCTGCTGCACAGACGACCTGTGGGCTTGTTTTTTTACGGGAGACCCGACTCAACCTACATGAATGAAGTTTCTGTAACTTCCCCCATAAACCCTCCAACAACCTTAATCTCCTCTGAACATTTCTCTGACGTGACTGACGCAGATCTGAAGGCTGGTCAATTAGTTCTGGACGTTTCTCCTGAGGCGTCGGATCTCTGTCAGATAAGAGTCACAGCCTGCAGCCGGCTCCCGACACCAAGCTCAGCAAAAACATTTCAATATTATTTGGTGTGAAAACAGGTCTGCATGAAGTCGCCCAGCGGGAACATCACAACGCCACTGTCAGCGTTTAACGGCGGAGGGAACAAAGGAGTCACTCGGAGGAATGTTTTCACTCTGTGGAGGTTTGTTCAACATCTCCCACACATTCCTCTGGTTTATATCATCAAGACACTTCAGATGTAAGAACATAACGGAGGGCTTCAGAACGAAGAGCTGTTTCCTCCACAGTCTCCATCTCTGTCCCTACTCTCTCTCTTGGAGTCCATTCTGGTCTCTAAGTGCACACCTGGGACTTCACTGTGTCTGCATGTGTGGACCCGGGAGTCAACAGGACAGTTAAAGCTTCTTACCACACCTCTGGGGGGACGCCTCACATTATCATCTCTACGAGAACACCTGGACGTCCACTCGACACCTCAGAGACATGATCACCTGATTTATGAGTCCATAATTGTCTCTTTGTGGACACCTGGGAGTCTGTGTCTGTGTGTGGACATCTGAGAGTCCAGTGGACCAGAATGTCTCAGTGAAACGAGATCTGAAACAGGAAACCCTTCAGTCCTCACTCATGCTGACCTGGAGGATCAGCATGACTCAGCGGTCTGGACCGTTGGTATGACTCAGCAGAGAGTCACTGTGACTCAGCAGAGTTTCTCTTTATCTGTTTATTTTATTAGCAAGAGAGAGTCCAGTCACAGGAGGGATAAGTTAAGGGGTTGTATTACAGTTTCAGGACTTTTCCAGAATTAAAAAATCACTGTGAATATTAAGGTTTCTTTTGTTACCCCATAAAAACCCATTCATGTTAATTTATGCATTAATCAAAAATTGGATGACCCTCAGAATTTGCACCTTGATTAAAGTACAAATTAAGGAATGTGTGTAATGTTATTTCATCACGATATTAATGTGTAAATTAAAGGGAAAGTTGCGTCACAATCTACTTAATTGCTGATTTAATTAAGGTGATTTAATGTGTCGAGTCTTTTCAAAGTCATTGACAAAGAAAAACCGAACATCTCGTCTTAGATGAAGGGACGTTTGTTGCCATAGTGATGACGGGATGCAGGTCTCAGCTGTCAGTCACAGACAGATTCTCCCTCTCAACCCTGAAGAAGAAAAACCATCAAGTGTTTCAGAGGGAAGGAAACTCTTTTGATTACCTCGGCATACATGTCTCGCCCCTCCCTGTGGGAGTCCGGACCCCGAGATGTGGTTCCACTGAGGTCCGTATATATAATAACACCTGCTCATGTCTGACTGAGCTGAACTCTCACCTGGTTCCTCTGAGCTCAGGCTGACAAACAGAACATGACGACAGCTCCGGTCCTCTGCTCCGGGTTTGTTTGAGAGAGAGGCTGAGGACAGAGCAGGGAGGAAACTCCACCGGTCTGACACGTTCGGCCGATGTCCGGCCTCGTTCTGGGAAGCTGAAACTGTCCCAGGAGACGGCAGTTTGAATTCCTCTCTGAGGAGCCTTCATCACATCCATCGCCCTGAGAATAAAGTACCACCCCTCCCTCGAATAAAAGGCTGCTGAATCAGACTGAAGCCACAAATCTGCTCTGTGACCTTTGACCTCTGGCTTTCAACTGAGACTAGTTTAGCAATGAAGCTGTACGGTGTAACATCGTCATCATCATCGTCATTATCATCGTCATCATCATCATCATCATCATCTGTGTTAGGAAAGAACTTCTTTGGGGATTTGGAGGGTTGACATGAATTAAGGGAATAAAAACCATCGTACACTTTGTAACATTGACAAGACCTCCAGTGTATGAGGGGCTTTTATTTTGAAGAGTCTGCAATGCTTCTGATGTATTTCCTCTCGTGCAGCTGATTTTATAAAGAATCAACTGAAGAAGAAAAGTATAAAAATAGAAACTATACATGAAATAAAATTAATTAAAAAATACAGCAACAATTCCAGGGTTTAGCAACTATTGATTAAAAATCAATCATTGATCATCGCCGGTTTTGAAAAAACACAATCATTTTAAATTAAAGTGTGAAGCAGTCGTCAATAAAAAATAAAATAAATACAAACAAAGAGACACGGCTGATGTCAGAGCAGCTGGCCCAGTGAATTATGGTCCATGTAGTTCCTCTGCAGTCTGGATCTGCTGAGCCCAGGTTCACACATGAAAACATGACGATGTGAATGAAATAAAAATCAACTAACATGGAAACTAAAGGGTTAATGTAAAGTCCTGAGCTGCTCCAGTCTGAGTTTCAGCTCTCTGCTCCTCTTCCTCAGCTCGTCCTTCATCGTCAGCAGCCTCCTCTCGTCCTCTTGGATCTTTGTGATGAACTCCGCCGCCGTCTTCAGGATCACCACCTTGGCCGTTTTGTCGTTATTGGCCACCGCCGGGATTTCGTCCCTCAGAGCCAAGAAGCTCATCTTCAGCTCGCTCCGTCGCTGCCTCTCCAGCACGTTGTGCGTCCTGCGTTTGTCCTCGTTGTCCTCGCCGTCCGACCGCGGGCTCCAGCACCTGCGGCCGCCGCTCTGCCTCGGCGACGAGCAGGTGATTTCTGACTTGACCCGTTTCACGGCGGGCTGCTCGGGCTTCTTGGCGGCGTAATTGTGTTGGTGGATGCTGACATGAGAGCGCTTCAGGACCAGCGGGGAGGGGTCCAACCGCCGGGACACTTTCCGCCTGTCCACCGTCACCACGTCAATCTCCTCCTCCTCCTCCTCCTCCTCCTCCTCCTCCTCTTCTTCTTCTTCTTCTGGGGAAAAAGAAACATTCTGGTGTTAGTGCTGGTGGTCATTAAAACTGTTGGCAGATACCAACAACAACAACAACAGCAGCAGCAGCAGCTACCACTGGTCCCACAGTTAACTTCTGTTTTAAGAGAACCTTGCAGGATTTGGTTTCTCTGAGTGTTTCACCATTTTCATTGGATCACTCAGAAAACAGTCAGCCAATCAGAAGAGAGCCTCAGAGCCTCCTCTCTTCTGATTGGCTCATGCTCGTGTAAACTGTACACTCTTTGTTATGTGTATTAATACCGACAGAGCTGATGGACAAAACCAGGAGCATAAAAACAAAGTTGGAATAAACCACAATTCATCTTTAACTTTGAAATGCAGGATTAAAGAAGTGACTTTCCAAAATAAAAGCTGCTTCTCACCTGATTCACTGTCACTGCTGCTGAGTGGCGGCGTGTCCAGACACAGCTCTGACCCCGCCTCCATCACTGCTCCATCTTCGCTCTTCTCGCCCAGGGTGGTGTACGGAAACACCACAGAGGGGTCGATACAGTCTGCGGCCGCTGCGTGGAGGTCGTGCAGGTACCCCGTGTTCACCTGAGACCTGCCCACCTGCTGATCAGCTGCTCCGCTCTCTTCGTTAGTGTTGCCGGCGCTGGTGGAGGAGTCTCGGCGGGACCGGAGCAAGGCCAGCCTCTCAGACACCACCTTCTCCAGCTTGGTGGCGGCGGCGAAGCTGCTGCTCCACATGCAGTCCTGGATGATGAAGGACTGGAGGAAGGCCGCGGAGGGGTTGCAGTCCCCGTCCAGCAGGTCGGACACAGCCTCCAGGTGATCTGCGGCGGACAGCGGGACATCAGACAGGGAGGGTCTCCGGCTGGGGGACAGGGGGGGCGTCGGCAGCAGCTCGAACTTCTTCCAGATGTCCTCCCCGGGACCTGGGAGGAGCAGGCTGCGTGAAGGAGGGTAGAAGTCCTCCTCCTCGCCATCCAAGAGGAAGTAGGGCTGGATCGTGTCGTAGTCGTAGTCGTAGTTTGTGCTGGACATGGGTAACACTGGCGGCATTATGGCTGCCTGCGGAGGCACAAAACATGAGGTCAGCTTTAACAAGCTTCACCAGACGGGACGGTGAAGTGAAGAACAAATCCTCCAAAAATATCCAATAAGAGATTATATAAAACTGAAAATAAGTGATTCTGTTCGTTTCTCTGGTTTAAATCTTTTCCACATTTTAGGAAAAAAATTACAAAAATACCAAATACAAGAAGAGACTTTAATGATGTGTCTGTCCCTACATGTAGTTGTATCCCCATCACAACACTGAACTGGTTTACTGGGAATATTTTCATATTGGTTTCAATCTCCATATTTCACTAATTGCAGCTGTTCGACTGCAGATTCAGTTCCACCCTGAAAACATACATTAGCATATTCACATATAATCAGATATTTGAAATTACTAAGAGCAAAAGTATTTACATAGAGGAAAGGGTGTGTGTGTGTGTGTGGGGGGGTTACCAGACAGCTGACACAGCCAGGTTCCTGTTATAATATTGTAGGTGACAAACATGAACATACAGTAACTTTAAGTTCTTACTAATAAGGTGATATCTGGGATAAGCATCTGCACAGGAGGAGATGAGAGTAATTACACGTCACCTGACTAATCCAGCAGAGAAAGGAAGATATTAATTAAAAATAAAACTGAGTTAGAGAAAATGTTTCACTGAACTCCACTCAAGAGTCAGTTGATTTAACCTTGTATACATGGTCTTCTTCTTTTTATCACTGTTAAATATCACACAAAGACTGACAAAGACTTTATCATGAGGTTGCACCTAAATTTGGGACGTAACTAACCATGAAGTGTACTGGGTGTTATTAAAGTACGGTTTTTATAAATGTCATGTTTTTAAAAGTAGGATTTAACCTGATAACAGACAAAACAAAACTTCCTTTTCTCTCTTTTCTTTTCAGAGTCATCAGCTGAACCTCTGACTCCAGCACTAACAGCTATTCTGGCTGTAATAAAAGCACTAATGTGTGATCCATGTGAGTGGAAACTCTGATGCAAACATTAAAAGAAAAGAAAAAAACCCCAGAAAAATGTGTTATTGTTCAAATATGTTTGGACAGGTGTCATCAGGTGGGAGTTGCTGAACTCACAGTGTGTGACGCCAGAGGGGAAAACTGGGCGGAGAGACGCACGGTTTGACCAGGTGAGGTGTCGGTGCTCAGCAGACCCTCAGCTGAAGCCTGATCTTCTGTCACCGGCTCCAACACCGTCTCGTGACCACAGTCCAAACTAAAGCTAGCAGCTCATCCGCTAAACTCGGCAAAAGGTCGACATGGTTGTTGGCAAACAAAACGTCATTGAAGAAACAGTGAGTTTGGGATTATTTCGGCTGCAGTTAAACAAACACAACAAAGAGTGACTCAAATGCAAAGAGTCGTTATCGGTGGAAGACACTCCGCACTTCGGCGTATATAAAAAGCCACTAAACACAACGTGCAACAGACATAAACAACAAAACTAAAGAAGCTGTGATCTCCATCCGTGTTCCACATGAACGTAAAAGATGTCACCAAAAACATTTAGTGCAAAAACCTCCCAAATATCTTCAGAGAAATGAGCTCTGTTTGTGTTTAACGCGGTTGTATTTGCGACATATTTAGGTGTAAATAAGGAGAAAAGATCCCTGAAGAGAGCCGACAGAGAGCCGACAGAGAGCCGACAGAGAGCCGACACAGAGCTGCAGCGGCCGGACACACTCACCGTTATGTCTCCCAGGATAAACTTGACAGGACCGAGGTGACAACTGAGTAAAATCCAAGAGTCCCGGTGAGTGAAGGTTGAATCTTCAGCCCGGGATTTATCCAACAGAGTCCGTATGTGAAAGTGATGTCCTCTTCCAATCGATAATCGATCAGAGAGAGTTATCAAACTGCAGTATTGATGACTCCTGCGCTGCTGTCTGTAGTCTCAGGGTGACTCACTCCGAACAGCTGCTGCTCAGACCTTTAATACTCCTACTCTTGTGCCTTTTCGTTTCGTCATACGCAATTTTCGCGCCAAATGTTAGTACGTAGTAAACTAAAATAAGTTGTTAGCGTGTCAGTGACAGCGTGAAAAATTACGTCGACAGTATTTCTGTCAGAAAATTTCGATTGTCATTAAACTTTTTTGTCAAAAGGGAGCAAGGAGATGCGTTCAATGTCAGAACTATTTTATTCCGCGGATGTGTAAGAGGGTGGTCCATGCTGACAGTAAATGATGCAGGCGGAGAAAGTTCCAGGAATTCAGCACTCATTCACTCAGGAAAACAACAACAAATGAATAAGTAAATAAATAACTTAAAAATGAATGGAAAAGGTTTGAGGGAAAATAAAATAAGATTTTTAAAAAAATGAAATAATAACATAACATACACTAACATTAGATAAATAAAAAATAAAATAAAAATAATTATGAAGAAAATAAAAAGATTAAAGGACAATAAATGACATAAAATGAGAAATATTTTTATCTAAAGAAATAAAAAATAAAATGATAAAAAAATAATGAAATTATCAACAAATAGAAGAACAAAATATTTAAGGAAAAAAACAGATTGATGAAAAGAACAAACTACAATAATTAAGAAAATATTACTGGAAAAAATGAAATAAATAAAAATAAAAATGATTTAGTAGTAATGGAAGCTGACATTCAGGGATTATTGGATGATTATTTGATTGTTCTCGTCGGGAAGGAAGTGATATCTGTCAGTTATCTTGGATGTGTTTTCACTCTCAGTAACTCACTGCACAAACCTCACTGTATCCTGGTAATGATGATGATGATGATGATGATGACAATGATGATGATGATGATTAATGTCATATATAGGTATAACTTTATTTAACCAGGAAAGGGCCTCACTGGGATCAAACATCTCATAATGGCAAAGAGAGCAGCAGCACATTAAAGACACATGTAGGGGTTAAAAACATAAACACAGACTTAGATAAACATATAACAACTAAATCTGAGTTTGTTTGTTTGTTTGTTTGTTTGTTTGTTTACATCAGTGATGGTTGATAGTTTCAATGGGGATCAGGTGATGAACACATTATAAAATGATATTTTTTTCTGTCTTTATCCTGACATTTCCATTTGTTTCACACTCATGTCTGTTTAAACCTTGGATGAGCTGCTCTCTGTCGCCTCCTGCTGTCAGGAGTCAAACCTTCAGGCTGCTGCCCCCTGGTGGTTGAGACAACACACTGCTTCAGTCTCCACACCATTCTTGTCCTCTCTACTTTTATATTTCTTGCAGTTGTAAATTGTTTTTTCTTCTGTTCCTGTTAGTGGCTGTTGTTAACATCTTAATGCTATGTCCCTTTGTGTTTCTGGCCATATGTACATGTCAGCATCAGCTGATATCAGACTCCAATCACGATATTGATTTATTTTTAATTTATGAATTTAACTTAATCTTTTGTGAAAGGTATGATATTCTTGGCAGCAGCAGCCACGTGCTCTTTGAGTGGACTGGATTATTTGTTATTTTATATGGAGAATTAAAATTTGTTCTGTTGTGATAAAAGTGTCACTGTATTGACATGTGCTCAAGAAACAGGTCACTGCAGAAACCTGGGTTTGTATTTATCCAACTGCTTAAAGAGAAAATGATGGGTGTTTTCACGTTTGCTCCTTTTCACACTTTCTCTTATCATGGTGTATTTGTTAATGATAACACATAAGTTAATGATAATGGAGAAGTACGCCTGTTGTACAGGGTTAATGTTAGTAGTGTCACATTGTCACATTGTGACTGTTATTCATTAAACTTATTTATTAAATGAATATACTGTTGTGGAAACCTCACATTGTCTTGTTTTTGGTTACTAGCAAACATGACACAAAGAAACACTGTAATATTTTCATGTTGCTGCTCTGGCTTCCATCATCATACCAACATTCAGTGTGGTTGTCATGGATACCAGCATCCCATCCTGATGGAAAGGCTACTATCCTCATCATATGGTACTGCTGACCAACAATCAGCATCCCATGGTCACCAGTAGCATGGGATACTGGTGACCTTCATACCAGCACCAAAACACAGCATATACTGGTATTACTAGTATAACCAGCATGCATTATTCTGGTTATACTGGTTACCTGCTACGCTGGTTTTTCTAGCGTGGCCGTCACTCTGATCTTCTGTCTCTCTCTGGCTTGAAGAAATCCAGCTAGCAAAACAAGATTTTTGTGTCTTGCTCCACTGTCTAAAGAATTAGTCCAAACAAACGTGTGTGATACAGAAATATATGGTTTGTGGTGAATGTGGAAGTGGTTTCAAAACAAAAACAACTTTGAACCAGTAAAAAAGAGGAAAAAGACCCTGAAGGGAACAAAGAGGAAGAGAGTACCTGAGCAGGTAAGTTAAAGCAGCTCCACCTTGAGCAGCTACAACAGTAAAAACTGGTGAAGCTTCAATGACTCAGGATTAATAATCGCATTTATTACATTGGTCAGAAAAACTTTTATTTTGACACTTTATGTACATTTAGATAAAAGTTATTTATTTTTACTTAAGTAGAATTTAACATGATAATGAATCAGTGTTACTGACCTTGGTGTCTTTGCTAGCAGCTGCTGTTCACTTACATTCTGCATTTTAATGCTACAACTGTCTTTGCTGTTCCTGCAACCAACCAGCTGCAGAGTAGACAGTCTGCTTCCTGTTTACACCGGCTCGCACATGCCCAGTGTACTTTAATGGTCAGGGTGTATGTGTCTTCAGGTGTGTTAGTCTGGATGGAGATCTGGACAGCCAGTGAATCCATATGGTCCTTGTAGTCTGGATCAGCTGCTCAGTGGTTTGTGGTGTGGTTTCCATCAGTCACAAAAACTTTTATTTTGACACTTTAAGTGCATTTAGCTCAGACAACTTATTGACTTTTACTGAAGTAGAGTTTCAAAAACAAGATTTCACTTGTGGTGGAGTATTTTTACTTTGTGGTGTTGAGACTTTTTCTTGAGTAAATACTGTTTCTTCATCACTGCTACTACATGGTGTTACAGTACACCTGATGTGGAGCAGTGTGTCGCTGCAGCCACCAGAGGGCAGCAGAATACAAGTTTTATTTGTTACAGCGACAGCAGCAGCAGAGGAAGACATGATTCACTTTAAATAGCACATTTCATTAAAAGTGAACTCAGTGTGATTTAGATTAAAATGTTTACAACAGCCAGAAACAGGAACAGAAGAAAAAACAATATAAAACTGCAAGAAATATACAAGTGAAGAAGAGAAGAATAAACTGAAGCAGTGTGTTGTCTGAACCAGCAGAGGGCAGCAGAATACAAGTTTTATTCATGACAGCAGGAGGCGACAGAGAGGAGCTCATCAGAGACTGAAGGATGAACTGAAGTTGATTTTAAATTCCTCTGACACAAAACAAACTTGACTTTAATTTGTTGTTGTTGTTGCTTTGAGTTCTTTTCAATTCAAATATAAAGACAAACAGCAGCTTATTTTCTTATTTAACGTTCACTGAAACGTTATTTTAAAATCTTCAAGATCACAGCTGAGGAGTTCTGTGGATTTGGACTTTTGTGTTTCCATCACAGATGTTCAACAACAGATGACAGTGTGTGTTTCTAAATTCACCACCAACCTGAATGTGTGTGTGTTGTTGTGTTTCTGCATCATGGTGACCCAGATTTTTCATCTGCTGTCAGATTCAAATCAAGAGCAAGAAACTTTTCACTCAGTCAGTTCAGAGAAACAGAGAATTGTGGGAAAAATCACCATTTATAAAAATTAAATTAATGAGAATAAAACAAGATAAAGAGCTGAAATAATAAATGAATCCCCTCTGCAGGCTGACAGTGAGCTTCATCTTCTTCTTCAACAGCAGACATTTGAAGACTGAACACAAACAGCATGTTGGAGACTGAAGGTCTCAGTTCCACCAGTCACTGAAACATAGAAGCTTTTTACACTTTAATGTTGCTGCCATGAAATGATCATTTTCCCTGTTAAACTCACCAGAGTTTGTCATTTTCTTTCCCCTTTAAAAGCTCCCACTCAGAGGAAAAGCACACAACAGCTTCAGCCGAGCCGTCAATCAGCAGCAGCCGCCTCATCTGTGGGCCGCAGGGGCTGATGGGAGGTTTGAGGAGGCGTCAGAAACCACATGACCCTCGTCTGAGCTCACAGCTCGTCCTTGTTTGGCCTCAGCTGCATCAGAGCTCCACTTCTCCCCAGCTTCACCAGAGGAAACACCACAGCACAAAATGCTTTTCCTCCCAGCTGCTGCTCTGTGCTGTCTGTGTTCAGGTGAGTGTTTCCAGCCAATCAGGAGCCAGCAAACTCAACCTGTGACAAACACTGTCACACTGACCTTCATCTACCTGTCTGTGTCTCTACAGCGCTGGTTGCCATGGCAGCAGTGCCGATTCAGGACCAGTTATCATTGACCAGGAGAGTTGGTGAAACAGTCTCGTTCAGCTGTGGAGGAACTGACCAGTGTGACAATGATTGGATACTCTGGTTCCAGAAGAAGGAGACAGAAACATTCACACCGATTCTTGCTATTAACAGGAATACTAGTGAAGTTGAATCAGGTTCCAATCATCCTCAGAAAGATGATTTCACAGCTGTTAAGAAACCAAACGGCTGTGAGTTGAAGATAGAGAAAGTTCAACTCTCTCATTCAGCCTCCTACTACTGCTCCTGTTGGAGGGATGATCCCCACAGTGAGAAATGATCCCTGCAGCCTGAACAAAAACCTCCAGATGAACAGATGTCAAACAGTGTTTGTGACAGGAAGAGAGCAGGAAACCACAGCCCAGGTTCACATATTTCACCTCCAGCTCACACACTTTTTCTTGACTTTTCTTTGATATTGATTGATATTTTGATCAGATATTTCAGCAGGTTTCCTGTTGTTCCTCACAGTGAGGACAAAGAAGAAACACAGAAGCA